GTCATACATAAAAAAAATACAATAACTTTTTCATTCCTACGACCAGCTCTTAGATAACATACTACTCTGATAGATTGCAATATGCTAGAATGAAATCCATGGGATACCTACTCGTCTTATTGCAATCAAAATTTAACTACAGGAAAGCTCAAGAAATAGTAATAGAAGCTGTGCAACTGAGAGTAAAATACTTACCAGAACTGGAAACCCTACAACGATAGCTCCTGCAGAACTCACAATCACAGACAAAGCTGTGAAAAAGGCTGAGCTAAGAGCACTCGAGATCATTCCAAGAACGGAAGCACCAGCACCAGCAGCACCTCCAAGCATTGTTGTGGTCACCAGAAGGTAGTTCAATGGAGGGGGCACTTGAATATATTTCCCAAAAGAGCGGAAAACAACTCTAATCTCCAAACAGATCACAATAATGACCAAGGCAATGGCCCCATTAACAATCCGAATACTCTGCAGCTGATGAGAATCCTTGGTAACCCACCATAAACCACCTCTTGTCGAAGCATAGAGCTGGAACAGGAAAGGGATAAAGAACAGGAGCAGCAAATCGCAAACTGAAGCAGCTGATGAGAATATCACAGAGTAATGTGACGCCACGTGAAAGAGAAGCGGCATAAACATCAAATTCAGTGAAAGGAAACAGCTCTCGAGCTGTCCAAGGATAAAGCTATCATCAGGGATCTCTCCTCCATGATACTTAACTTCCTGCTTGGTCTTGAATGAAGAAACTCTAGGAATAGCGAAGATCCAGTAGAAGACGCAGGCGAACAAGAGGAAATAGTAAGAAGAGTTGTTCATCCCAACGGCAGAGATGGTAGCCCATGCGAATAACGAAGAGGCGGTGAAAGGTACACAGGCGAACAAGAGACGCTCCAGAGCGACAACAATGGAAGGATTTTCCAGCTGAAGCCATTTGAATTGGAGCGAAGTCCAGCAACCGATGAGGAAAGTAGTCTTAGCGCAGAGAAAAGCCGCGAGCAAGCCGAGAGGGACGGAATTGAAGGAGGAAAGGAGAGAAGAGGAGAAGAAGAAAGAGATCTGAGCAGCGATCAGTGACATCCATATACCGAGGAAGCCTCCGAATTTGACATTGAGAGAATCGACGATATAGGATATGAGGAGGCCGATTGTGAGTGTAGCGACAACCGGAGCGCCGCCGAGGTCGAGGAGGAAGGCGGCGCAAGGGACAAGAGCAATTGCGATCCGTCCATTGTAGGCGAAGGAAGACGGAGAGAATCGAGAGTTGTTGGATCTCGAAGTAGGAGTAGCTCGATCGATGAAGTTTCTGGTTGAGGCAGGGCTCATGTGCGGGGAGTAAGAGGATGAAGACTGAGTAGGTTCACTGGTGGGAGAGGTTATATGCGGCCGGAACAGCCGCGGCTGCAGCTCCGGTGGCATCATCGTCGCCGGAATTTTTGTTTGGAATACAGATTGATGGCGAATCTCGCCGTTTACTGATGAAGAAAGGATCTGTGTGTTGATTTCGCGGAAACGGTGACGTGTCCGGATGAGCGGTAGCCCTTGGATCTTGCTAGTGGGGCCCGCTATTCTTATTAGCTCTCGTAGGTCTGTGTCCACTGAATAGTGGCTCAAGCTAAGCGAAACGCTGTCGTATTCAAGGAGTGACGAGTGGTAAAGTGGAAACACAGTCGTTTCCTCATGTGAGTGGTGAGGTCTGACGAGTGAAAACGCGACTTTTCGTGTCTACTGTTAACCATTGTCGAACCAAGAAAAAAAAAACTCGACAATGGACGTTTAATGTTGGATAACTTGTATGATAAATCAGAAAATACATTTTAACGTGTCATTTGTTGTTTATTGAAATATATAGCTGTGTTATTTTTACGGGCTTTTTTTATTTTATTTTTTGCTTTTGTTATTCTTTAATTACTAATTACCCTTTATTCAAGTCTCACACATTTTGTAACGGCGGTTTTAACGGCTGGAATGTAGCTCATGTAGCTCCCACGACGGACTTTTCCGGCTAAGAAACTTGTAAGCAACTTTCGACTCTAGTATCTTCAAGGCTCCTTCATGTGTCACTGACCTTGGTGTCTTGTACTGACTCACAGAAGAGCCTCGAGACAAGAAGAAATTCATGAGCTCGTCGAAAGCGCCAGGTTTGACAACCTTAATCTCAAGTGGTCCAATGATCTTATCATTTTTTCGTCCTTTTCTGTAGACAGAGTCTAGAGACTCCTCAACGGTTAAGCAACATTCCTCCAAGACATTGGAGTTGGGGTACAGCTTCGCGTTCTTGAATTTGCTCCCGAGTTCCCAATAGAGCACATAGTGTCCGGGCAACGAGGAAAGATCCACACGGCTAGTGAAATCCATGAGCATCAGGTCATGTGGCTCGAGCAGGAGACTCGCGTTTTTCACGGCCTTGAGGAGGTCTTCTTCGTAGGTCTTGCTCAAGTCGATGCTCAGAACAACTTTCTGCCTTCCCACGAAATAAAACTGTGGCGCATTGTTGTGAAAACCAGTCACCCGTAAAACATCTCCTAAACGGTACCTATAGAGACCTGTCAATCATACATATATCTTGTGAGTAAAATAACATAGATTTTTAATAGTATAAATTTAGAGAACAAAGGAGTGAAAAATATTAATATCATTTATTGTGTTCTCAACCAAAGGCTTGATCATAAAAAAAATTTTAACGACATTTAATTTGGGTTGAAACGGAGGGTAAAAGAAACTTACCAGAAAACGTTGTGACAAGAAGTTCATAATCATGGCCAATTTTAACATCGACGAGATCGACCACCACAGGGTCTGCGGGAACATGGCCAGCTTCTTGACGGTCTTTCACAACCTCAATGAACTCAAAATACCCCATACTTGGAATGATGGTGTACGACACATCACTAGGCTTAGACAGAGGATTGAGATTGATACCGATGAAACATTCGGAGCTGCCATACCAAGATGAAACCAAAGGAAGACCACCACCATAAAATTCAAGCAACGGAATGTACTGTGCCATGGTGCCGGTAATGACGGCTTCTATACATTTTGCTTTTGGCCATAGTCTCCTCAATATTGCCTCCCATGAGGTTTTACTGCATTCTTGTTCGATCAGGTTCGCTAGGTCCGGATTTGGAGCGGTGAGGAACTTACTGATCCCTGAAACACATTGGGCGTCTGTTATCCAGTCGCTGAGACGGCCAGTCCTTATGTTTGAGCATAACTCATGCCAATGATCTTCCAAAAACTTGATTACTTTGAGAAAGGAAGAAGCATAGGGTGCACCTAGGCGAGCTACATTTTCGCGTTGTAGAAGCCCACAAAGCAATTGGCAGTACATGGCTTGATTAGTGTCTTCACAAATCGCAATCGCATGCGGGCTTATTTGTACTCGATCCCTGTAAATCATATAACAAACACAACGAAGAAACACTTGCAATGGTGAAACCTCAATAAACACTAACAGCAAGAGTGGACTATGTAATGTAATGTGAGAGCAAAGGTTTTCTTGATTTACCAAAGAAACGAATTGGTTGGGTTCACGCTTTTCAAAACACAAGTTATCATAAACCTGACCATCAATCCAGAGGCAGTCTCGCTTTCTCGAGTCACAAAATAAAACATGAGAGATTTGCCTTGAGTAAGCCCTTCGATGTGCCTGCCAACAATAACAACAACGGGTTTGGGTTTTACTTACTCTTTTTTTGGTATCAACAAAAAAGCAACAACTTGGAGTTTTGAACTCTTTACTTGAAGACTAGAGGTGCATAGAGAAATCCAAACAATATCCTCTGTTCCAATTCCTCTGCTGTCAGAGGAATCAACTTTGGAATACCTCCTGAAGTTCCCGTGCTGCACAAACAATCACTTCCTTAGGTCTTTACACATTATACACTTCAATTTAATCTACACTCACAAACTTCTATTTTGTAAAAAAGAGAGAAATTTGTTTTAAAGGTACGTGGCCAAGAGAAGACTGATGTGTCGATCACAAATGAGATCAGACGGCTCTCCATTAGCGATACGATCGATATGAGGCTTAATAACTTCGTAGGTCACAATGGGTAGGTTCTTCTTGAAGCTCTGCTTATCGAGTTGACCGTTGAGGAAACCTCTAAGGTACTCGGTCTGAGCATTACGTGAAAGTATTGCTTCCAACACAGAATCTTGAATTTTGTTTACGTTGGTCGTCACATCCTCAAGAACAGACATGGTAGCTAATAGGTTTGTTGGATCGAACTTTGGCAACATGATTGCTGCTTTTTTATCGTCTGCAACAACAAAAACAAAAAGCAAAAGACTAACGGTTAAAGTAAAGTCTAATCACTTGTGGATCACGAAATTGCTTACAAAAGAGTGAAAGAAGAAACCTCTGTTCTGGCTGCAGTGGATTGTCTCTGGCCTCTCTCTCGCTGCAGATAAAAGGTGTGATAAAGTGGCAGAAAGTTCGTGTGCCGGAAATTGAGGATGAGTTTCCGACAGGGATGAGGAGGCAAGTTAAGCATTATGGATTCAGTTGACAGTTGACACCAAACAAAGTTTTGAAGATCTATCGAATTTGTGAGTTTGACCCACTAAAACAAACGTGAAGATTATTCAAATTATAACACACGAAAACAAGCGTGAAGATTATTCAAATTAAAACGAACCCAGTAATTTGACCTAGCACAGTATAGTAGTATAATTGTGAGCAACATGATTATTGACGGTTTCGTTTTCTATCGAAATTTAAAATTTATGTCTCGACTAAACATAGTTACAATGTGGGAAAAGAAACTAAAAACCCTGCCTTTGGTCAACTAAAGAAAAAACTTAAAAGCAGAGCATTTGTTGGCTGGAAAAAAACAGAGAGCCTAGAAACTATGTTTTTTCAATTACGAAATAGCCTAGAAGGATATTTTGTACTAACATTTTAAAGAGTAAACGTTTATTTTTGTCAACAGAGTATATTTCGTAATACAACTATGGCAAAACTGGATATCATTTTAGATTAAGAAAATTCTTGTCAAATAATATGAACAGAACATTAATATTGAATTGTGTTTCATATCAGGATATATTATCCAATAACATAATGCTAACACTCATATAATATAAATTTTTCTAAACCATAAAGTAAATATGCTAAGATAATATTTCGAGATCTAGAGAATTCTTCTTTCGGGTTCACGGACTCACTTCATAGACGAGTTTTCATAACCTAAAGTACATCTTGCTACTTCTTAAATAATGTTCTCCTGCCCTCAAATCTCATAGATATCTGCCGTTTTACCGACCGGAGTGAAGCTCATGTAACTCCCACGACGGAATTTTCCGGCTAAGAAACTCGGATTCAACGTTGGCCTCCAATATCTTCCAGGCTTCTTCAATCGTCACCGACCTCGGTGTCTTGTACTGACTCACAGAAGAGCCTCGAGACAGAAAGAAGTTCATGAGCTTGTCGAAAGCGCCAGGCTTAACAACCTTAATCTCAAGTGGTCCAATGTTCTTATCATTCTTTCGTCCTTTTCTGTACACAGCGTCGAGAGACTCCTCAACAGTGAAGCAGCATTCTTCCATGACATCGCTGTTAGGCTCGAGCTTTGAGTCCTTGACTTTGCTCCCGAGTTCCCAATAGAGTACATAGTGTCCTGGAAACGAGGACGAATCTACACGGCTAGTGAAATCCATGAGCATCAGGTCATGTGGCTCCAGCAGGCGCTTTGCGTTTGTCACTGCCTTGAGGAGGTCTTCTTCGTAGGTCTTGTCCATGTCGATGCTCAGAACAACTTTCTGTCTTCCCAAGAAACGGAAATGTGGCGCATTGTTGTAGAAACCAGTCGCTCTTAAAACGTCCCCCACACGGTACCTATACAGACCTGTAAAATCATATATAGATCTTGTAGAAACGTATAGATTTTTGATACACACTAAGAAAAACGAAGACTGGAAAATAATTTTAAAAGGACATTTATTTTGAAAAAATGACTTACCAGAAAAGGTTGTGACAACAGGTTCATAATCATGGCCGATTTTAACATCCACAAGATCGACAACCACAGTTTTCGCTGTGGGATCATGACCAGCTTCTTGATGGTCTTTCTCGACCTCTAAGAACTCGAAGTACCCCATACATGGAATGATGGTGTACGACACATCACAAGGCTTACACAGAGGATTAAAGTTGACACCCATAAAACATTCAGAGCTGCCGTAAAACGATGAAGTCAAAGGAAGACCACCGCTATAGAATTCCAGCAATGGAATGTACTGTGCCATGGTGCCTGTAATGATGGTTTCGATGCATTTTGCTTTTGGCCATAGTCTCCTCAATACTGCCTCCCATGATTTTTTACTACATTCTTGCTCGATCAGGCTCGCTAGTTCCGGATTTGGAGCAGTGAGGAACTTACCAATCCCCAAAGTACATTGCGCGTCTGTGATCCAGTCGCTGAGACGGCCAGTCCTTATGTTAGAGCATAACTCAGGCCAATGATCTTCCAAGAACTTGATTACTTTGAGAAAGGATGAAGCAAAGGGTGCACCAAGGCGAGCAACATTATCTCTTTCAAGAAGCCCACAAAGCAATTGGCAGTACATGCTCTGAGTAGTGTCTGCACAAGTCGTAATCGCGTGCGGGCTTATCTGTAATCGATCCCTGTACATCATATAACACACACATTAAAGAAACACTAGCAGTAACAAAGAGCTTGTTTACCCCCGGGATTGGTCAGGCACTTCAATTAAGTACTTGTGGAAAGACTGAATTATGTAATGTAACGTGCAAGTAAGGGTTTTATTGACTTACCAAAGAAATGAACTGGTTGGTTTAATGCTTTTCAAAAAACTAGTTACCATAGTCCTGACCATCAACCCATTGGCAGTCTTGCTTTCTCGCGTCACAAAATAAAATATGAGAGATTTTCCTTCGCTAAGCCCATCGATGTGCCTGCAAACAGTAACAACAACGGACTTGGGTTTTACTATTTACTCTTTATGGTATCAACAAAAGAGACACACCTTGGAGTAACTCTTTACTTGTTGAGTAGAGGTGCATAGAGAGAAGAAAACGACATCCTCTGTTCCAAATCCTCTGTCGTCAAAGGAATTAACTTTGGAACTCCTCCTGAAGTACCCGAACTGCAAGTACAATCGCTTCCTTAAATCATTACAGATTTTATAATAAACTATACTCTAATTTAATCTACATTATCGTACATAACTCATGTCTCAACAAGTATTGAACCAAATGGGGCAAATCTTATTTAGGTTCTGTTAGATTTCAAGTTTCCTCTGAACTTCAAGTCAAGATCTTGCATTTAACTTTAACATGCAAGCTTTGAAATTATTTTGAAGGTACCTGGTCAAGAGTACACTGATAGGTCGATCACAGATTAGATCAGACGGCTCTCCATTAGCGATACGATCGATATAAGGCCTAATATCTTCGTAGGTCACAACAGGTACGTTGTTCTTGAAGCTCTGCTTATCGACTTGACCGTTGAGGAAACCACTAAGATACTCCGTACGAGCATTACGTGAAAGTATTGCTTCCAATATGGAATCTTGAATCTGCTTTACGTTGGTGGTCAAATCCTCAAGAAGAGACAGACAAGCTTTTTGGTCTGTTGGATCGAACTTTGGCAACATGATTGCTTACTGCTCTTTATTGTCCGCAAAAAAAAAAAAAAAAAACCAAAACTTCTGTTCTGGATTAGCTCTGGCCCCTCTCTAAAAGCTTCAAAACTTTGGAGGAGAGATTGGATAAAACAGACCAAAGGTGTGATGTGGCGAAATGTTATGGTGTCGGCAATTGTGGATGAGTTGATTTTGTTTCTTTCTCAGAAAGAGCATCTACAAAGGATGAGTAAACGAATCCAATTTGTGTACTACGAGGAGATAAAGGTTTTCATTGGGTATTGACACATGTATTTTGTTTTATTTTAAAAAAATTTGACATTAGATTTTTTAGTGCATGTCCAAAACGTAGTACTCTACTTTTTTTTGTTCACAAAAATATTGTTTTAAGATTTTATTTTATTTAATACAAAATGTCATTTTATATTTTTAATACAGTTTTTAAACAAATACCTTTTTATTTTTACTATTTAAGTTTTATTAGAAAAAAAAAAAGTATAATAAATATTTACATAGCTTTTTAATATATGTAAAACATGCCAAAATGATATTTTTATGAATAAAATATGATTATGTGATTTTTCCATATTTTTGTCTTCGTGTAACGTTTTTGACCAGTCCTTAAGTTTTTAAGCGACATGTACCTCTCAGAGCAACATTATTGGGGAGGTCTTAGTTTTGGTTCTTAAACCAACTTTTTGCTTTTAAGCCAATTTTTTGCTCTTAACTAAGAACCATTCCTTAGCAAAATCAACATTTCAACCTTTAATTTTAATCATTCATGAGCTAAGAACTAAGCTAAGAACCTCTCAATAAAGATGATCTCAGCTTTTGAAATAACACAGACAAAAACCATGTGATAAGGTCGGTCAAAAATCCGGCGGTAGTAGAGGGTTTGGATGGTTACAACTTATACAAACTTAATGTTATACTCCTATTTGATATCCCATTTTATAAAAGATTGTTACACTATTTAACTTTGACTGGTTGAACAAGTGAGAGTAATTTTCTCATCATTGCTAAGTTTTATTTTAGGTTCTACACAGGCCCGGCCCATAGGACAGGCAAGTGAAGCCACTGATTCGGGCCTCAAATTTTGAGGGCCTTTTCAGATAAAAATTTCTTAAGTTTTTTCATATATGTTTATACTATGAATTTTTGTGTAGGGTCTTTTTAGATAAATATTGTGGGCTTTTTCATATACAAGTAAAACAACTAAAGGTTTAAGTAAAAAAAATCATAAACTCTAGAGAAAAGAAAAAAAAAACGACCATACAGTTGTTAAAATTTTTTATAATATTTTTCTTAGTTTTCTTTAGTTTTTTAATTTTCTTTTTGACTTTTCTGTTTTCTTTTGATAATTGTTTCACAGTTTTAGTTTATAACTTTTACTGGTTAAGTGTTTAATTTTTTTTTTCTTTTACTTGTTTCAATTCGTAGATTTATGTCACCACTAGAAGTGTGATATGAACAAGGCATGTTATTTAGGAATTGCGTAGGGCACTCATATATGCCGGACCGGCACTGGTTCTACAATGTTTCACCTTTCTTAAGTATCCTACGATGAAGTAAAAAAAAAAAAAATTGTGATCGCGGTCTTATCGGTTGGAGTACAGCTCATGTAGCTCCCACGATGGAGTTTTCCGGCTAAGAAACTCGGAAACAACGTTCGACTCCAATATCTTCACCGCTTCTTCATTCGTCACCGACCTCGGCGTCTTGTACTGACTCACAGAAGAGCCTCGAGACAGAAATAAATTCATTAGCTCCTCGAAAGCGCCAGATTTAACAACCTTAATCTCAAGTGGTCCAATGTTCTTATCATTCTTTCGTCCTTTTCTGTACACAGCGTCAAGTGACTCCTCAATGGTGAAGCAGCATTCCTCCAAAACATTCGGGTCGAGCTCAAGCTTTGCGTCCTTGACTTTGCTCCCGAGTTCCCAGTAGAGCACGTAGTGTCCTGGAAACGAGGAGGAATCCACACGGCTAGTGAAATCCATGAGCATTAGGTCATGTGGCTCGAGCAGCAGCTTCGCGTTTGTCACTGCCTTGAGGAGATCTTCTTCGTAGGTCTTGTCCATGTCGATGCTCAGAACAACTTTCTGTCTTCCCACGAAATGAAATTGTGGCGCATTGTTGTAGAAACCAGTCACTCTTAAAACGTCCCCTAAACGGTACCTATACAAACCTGTAAATCATATATAGATCTTGTGAGAAACAAAAAGAATTTTGATACACATTTAAGAAAAGAATTAACATGTCATCTAATTTGAAATTGAAAGAGTAAACAAGAAAAAAAAATTACTTACCAGCAAACGTTGTGACAACAGGTTCATAATCATGGCCGATTTTAACATCGACAAGATCGACTACAACAGGTTTCTCGGCAGGATCATGACCAGTTTCTTGATAGTCTTTCCCGACCTCTAAGAACTCGAAATACGCCATACATGGAATGATGGTGTACGACACATCACTAGGCTTACTCAGAGGATTGAGATTGAGACCGATGAAACATTCAGAGCTTCCATAAAAAGTTGAAATCACAGGAAGACCACCGCTATAGAATTCCAGTAATGGAATGTACTGTGCCATGGTACCGGTAACAATGGCTTCGATGCATTTTGCTTTTGGCCAAAGTCTCTTCACTATTGCCTCCCATGATGTTTGACTGCATTCTTGCTCAATCAGGCTCGCTAGTTCCGGATCAGGAGCAGTGAGGAACTTACCGATCCCTGAAACACATTGGGGGTCTGTAATCCAGTCACTGAGACGGCCAGTCCTTATGTTGGAGCAAAACTCAGGCCAGTGATCTTCCAAGAACTTGATTATTTTGAGGAAGGATGAAGCAAAGGGTGCACCAAGGCGACCTACATTATCTCGTTGTAGAAGCCCACAAAGCAGTTGGCAATACATGCTCTGAGTAGTATCTGAACAAGTCGAAATTCCATGCGGACTTATCTGTGTTTGATCCCTGTAAGTCATATAACAAACACAATAAAAGAAACAGTAGCAGAAAGAATGAATTGTGTAATGTAACGTGGGGGCAAAGGTTTTATTGATTTACCAGATAAAAGAGTTAGATGGCTTCAAGCTTTTCAAAACACAAGTTATCATAGTCCTGACCAGTATCCCAGAAGCAGTCTCGCTTTCTCGGGTCACGAAATATAACATGAAAGATTTTCTTTCTCTAATCCCCTCGACGTACCTGCAAACCGTAGATACAATGAGTTTTGGGTTTTACTTACTCCTTTTCTTTTGGTATCATCAATAAAACAGACACAAATTGGAGTTTGGAAACTTTACTTGTAGAGTAGAGGTCTATAGAGAGAAGCAAACGAAATCCTCTGTTCTAATTCATCTGTTGTCAAAGGAATCAACTTTGGAACTCCTCCTGAAGTACCAGAGCTGCAAATACAATCTTCCTTAATGTACTTTTTTGAAGATTAACAAACTCATGTATCAACAAGTTATGAACCAAATTTCTCTATGTAAAACAGAGGAAATAAGAAAATCCAATGTGGGGTATTCTAGTCAACAATTGGTCTAAATTCTTTCAAATCTTGCATTTAACTTATAAGTACAAAGCTATGAATTTTTTTGGAAGATACCTGGTCAAGAGTACACTGATGGGTCGATCACAGATGAGATCAGACGGCTCTCCATTAGCGATACGATCGATATAAGGCCTAATATCTTCGTAGGTCACAACGGGTAGGTTCTTTTTGAAGCTCTGTTTATCAACTTGACCGTTGAGAAAACCACTAAGATACTCGGTACGAGCATTACGTGAAAGTATTGCTTCCAAAACGGAATCTTGAATCTGTTTTACGTTGGTCGTCACATCTTCAAGAAGAGACAGACAAGCTTTTTGGTCTGTTGGATCGAACTTTGGCAACATGATTGCTTGCTGCGTTTTGACTGTCTGCAACAATATCCAAAAAGAAAACCCTGATTTTAAGTCATTCCAATGAAATTGCTTACAAGAAAGTGAAAGAACAAACCTTAGTTCTTGCGAAGTAGATGAGCTCTGGCCACTTTCTCTGGCGAAGTAGAAAGCAGACAAAATGTGTGGTGTGGCGAAATGTTCGGTGGCGTAATATTGTGGATGAGTTGCCAGATTTGATATTTTTTCAGGAAGAGGATTAATTAACCTTTTGGTGAGCACTACGAGGAGATAAAAGCTTTTAAAATGGAAATCAGTGACATGTTGAAACTTTGAAAGTATGATTTAAGTGCTTTTGTCTTCTTCTTTTTTTGTCCTTTCCCCCAATCTTTAGAAACAATGCAGACAAAAACCATGTGGTTACAACTACGGTCATCAATCTTGTGGTACAAGTGTTTTACTGTTTTAGATTTTGGATGGTACAATGGTATATATATCACATTTTTGGAAAGATTATGGTATTATCTCACTTTCACGAAAGATTCTATGGGTATGATTGAAAATTTATAGAAACTTTCTTTTTTGGGTAAAATTTTTTTTGAAAATAGTTAAAATAATTCTAGTTGAATTACAACTTAAATACAATATATTTTGGATGAAAATGTAATTTAAAACTAGATTCTGATCCGCACATATGTACGAGATTTCATATTTTTAAAAATTTAATCTAATAAAATTTAATTCAATATAAATTATTTTGTTGTTTTGGTCATATATAGTTAAATTCGGATTCGCATGTATGTACAAAGTAATGTTTGTAAATATTTATTTAGTATAACATTCATAATTTGAATTCATATGAGTTTGGTATTTTGGTGTAAACAGAATGAATGAGTGGATTTGTTTTTGTTATCAGACAACTACGTAGAAAAGACAATAAGAAAAAATAGTCTTTAAAATTGTTGAATATTTAAAATAATTTAAAATTTGGACAGACGTGCAGATGGGTACGGGAAATGACGGTAAAACAGATTATGATACATATATCTTTTCGCATTAAAAGAAAAAAGTAATTTCCAGAAAATTCAACCCATGTTATTTTTCAAAAAAAGTGCACATAAAAGTGTAGTCTACAAAATTCCTAATATTTTTTATGATATAAAACAATAAGACCATCTCCATCCATCTGACATTGTGTGGGTGTCTCAAAAATATTATTTTAACCATTTTATAATAAAGAAATTATTTAATTAAATTATAAATTATAAAAAGAGAATTTGACCAATAATATAAGGACAAATGGAAACACAATTTCTCAAACCAGAAACAGTATCTACCCTCTCTCCTACTTTTTTATTATTTTTTTTGTTTTTTTAATCTTGAGACATTGCTCAAGACACTACTGTTGGAGATGATCTAAGGATTTTGCACAATAAAAGTAGAAATCTGGATTTTTTCGAATCCGAATTACAACTACAGACCTTTGATATAGATTTATTTTTTACGGGTATTGGAACTTCCAATATGTCCAAACATTAAAAGGAATATTTAGACTATGATATCGAAGACTAATTTTTTATTAAAAAAACAAGAAAAATTCTTAACTATCCGCTGCCCTCAAGTAAAAAAAAAAAAAAAAAAACATGACGGGGTTTATCGGCGGTAGTGCAGCTCATGATGAATCCCCCACGACGGAGTTTTCTGACTAAGAAACTCGGAAACAACGTTGGCCTCCAATATCTTGACGGCTTCTTCACTCGTCACCGACCTCAGCGTCTTGTACTGACTCACAGAAGAGCCTCGAGACAGAAAGAAATTCATGAGTTCGTCGAAGGCGCCAGGCTTAACAACCTTAATCTCAAGTGGTCCAATGTTCTTATCTTTCTTTCGTTCTTTTCTGTAGAGAGGGTCCAAAGACTCCTCAACAATGAAGCAGCATTCTTCCATAACATCGCGGTTAGGTTCGAGCTTGGCGTCCTTGACTTTGCTCCCGAGTTCCCAATAGAGCACATAGTGGCCTACAAACGAGGACGAATCCACACGGCTAGTAAACTCCATTAGCATCAGGTCATGTGGCTCGAGCAGGAGCTTTGCGTTTGACACTGCCTTAAGGAGGTCTTCTTCGTAGGTATTGGCCATGTGGAGGCTCAGAACAACTTTCTGTCTTCCCACGAAACGGAAATGTGGTGAATTGTTGTAGAAACCAGTAACTCTTAAAACATCACCCACACGGTACCTATACAGACCTGTAAAATCATATGGAGATCTTGAGAGAGACATATAATTTATTTATACACATTAAGAAATTAACAATTAAAATGTTTATTTTGTCTTCTATCATTTTCTGTAAGCAAAGACTCTGCAACAATAAGCAAAGACCCATTTTAAAACTATATCTTGTTCTGATATGGAGAGTAAAGAAGAGAAATACTTACCAGAAAACGTTGTGACAACAGGTTCATAATCATGGCCAATTTTAACATCGACAAGATCGACGACCACATGGTTCTCTATGGGATCACGACCAGCTTCTTTTTGGTCTTTCTTGACCTCTAAGAACTCGAAGTACCCCATAGATGGGATGATGGTGTACGACACATCGCTAGGCTTGCACAGAGGATTAACATTGACACCGATGAAACATTCAGAGCTGCCATACCACGATGAAATCAACGGAAGACCACCGCCATAGAATTCCAGCAACGGAATGTACTGTGCCATGGAGCCTGTAACGACGGCTTCCACGCATTTTGCTTTTCGCCAAAGTCTCTTCACAATTGCCTCCCATGAAGGTTTACTGCATTCTTGCTCGATAAGGCTCGCTAGGTCCGGATTTGGAGCGGTGAGGAACTTACCAATCCCTGAGACACATTGAGCGTCTGTGATCCAGTCACTGAGACGGCCAGTCCTTATGTTTGAGCATAACTCTTGCCAATGATCTTCCAAGAACTTGATTACTCTGAGGAAGACAGAAGCGAAGGGTGCACCCAGGCGAGCTACATTATCTCGTTGTAGAAGCCCACAAAGCAATTGGCAGTACATGCTTTGTGTAGTGTCTTCACAAGTCGAAATTTCATGCGGGCTTATCTGTAATCTATCCCTGTAAGTAATATAACAAACACGATAAACAAACAGTCGTAAGCACCAATGAGCACATGTTCACCAAAAAGTGAATTGTGTAATGTAACGTGGGGAAAGAGGTTTTGTTGATTTACCAAAGAGATGAGTTGGTTTTGTTCACGCTTTTCAAAATACAAGTTATCATAGTCCTGACCAGTATCCCAGAGCGAGTCTCGCTTTCTGGGTTCACGAAATAGAACGTGAGAGCTTTTCCTTCTCTAATCCCCTCGACGTACCTGCAAACCGTAGATACAATGAGTTTTGGGTTTTACTTACTCTTTTTCTTTTGGTATCATCAATAAAACAGACACAAGTTGGAGTTTAAAACTCTTTACTTGTAGAGTAGAGATCTATAGAGAGATCCAAAAAAAATCCTCTGTTCCCCTTCCTCTGTTGTCAAAGGAATCAAATTTTGAATTCCTCCTGAAGTACCAGAGCTGCAAAGCAATTAGCTTTCCTTAATCCATTATATATTCCTCACTTCAGTTTTAATGTAAATCATTAAAGATTAACAACTCAAGTATCAAGTTTCGAACCAAATTTCCTATTCTTTTGTAAAGAAAGTGGACTTATGAAATTGCATGTGCATGTGTGTCGATCACATTTTATGATATATAAGAGCCAAGATTCCAAGTCTCTTATGGAAATTCTATTCTATAAATTTGTCTACATCCCTCCAAATCTTGCATATACAAAGCTTTGAAGTTGTTTTAGTTATCGCAGATTCAATAAAAAAAGAGGTGGATCGTTTTGAAGGCACCTCATCACAAATAAACTGATGGGTCGATCACAGATGAGGTCAGACGCCTCTCCATTAGCGATACGACCGATGTAAGGCTTAATATCTTCATAGGTCACAACGGGTACGTTCTTCTTGAAGCTTTGCTTATCAACTTGACCGTTGAGGATACCTTTAAGATACTCGGTATGAGCATTACGCGAAAGTACTGCTTCCAAGATGGAATCTTGAATCTGCTTTACGTTGGTGGTCACATCCTCAAGAAGAGACAGGCTAGCTTTTGGGTCTGTTAGATCAAACTTCGGCAACATGCTTGCTTTTGATTGTCTGCAACAACAATAACAAAAAGCTAAGCCTTTTAAAGTCTTATCACGAAATTGTTTACATAGGAGTGAAGAGAAAACCTTTGTTCTAGCGAGGTGGATGGATGAGCTCTGGCCTGTCTCTTTCTCTGCTTGAAAGCTTTGTAGGAGAGATTAGAAAAAGCAGTCAAGTGGTGTGGTGTGACGATATGTTCGCTGCCGTAAGATTTGCTCTTTTTCCATAAATAGGATTAATTGACAAAGGCTAAGCAAAAAAAATTCTATTGATATCCCATTTTTAGAAAGATTTGATCAGTGTTCAAGAAAGCGCTAGGCGCTAAGCGGGCGGTGATCCAGTGCCTAGCGCCTAGAACGCCTAATCGGAGCCTAGGCGATTTTTAGGCGGTTTAGACGTTTATAACATAAAACATTATAAATATAATATTATATATAAAAGTTATATAAATCTTAAAATTATGAATTATAAACAAAAACTAGATAAAACATTTATTTATATTTATATTAAACAATATATGAATATTTATAACTATATATATATATATAAATAAAACTCTAATTAAAATTGAAAAAATACATTAAACAAGATTTATGTAATTTTAGGCGGTCAAGGCGGTTATCTAGGCGTCGCATGAGAGCCTAGCGCCTAGTCGGGGCCTAGACGACCGCCTAGACCGCTTTTTAGAACACTGGATTTGATAGTTCATTTTTACAAGGACTATGATACTATGGGTATGAATGGTGGTAGAACACATAGCAGAAAAAGAATATGATGGAAGGTTAATTTATTTCCTAATAGTGGTGGTGGAACACATAGCAAAAAAAGAACACATTACCAATGTTACCATGTTGCAAACAAGGTCGGTTCAATTTGCGTCTGTCCGGTTAACGAAACATTGAACCGATAAATCGTAAGAGAGCAGTCGCATGAAAAAGCTCCGAAAGAAATTCAGAAATCAATTGACCCAATCAAATCATTGCGGTGGTGAAAATGGCTCGAAACGACTCGCGATCTAGGTCGCCGTCTCACCGCCGACGACACTCTCGCTCGCCTGTTACTCATCGTAGCAGCCGTCGTAGCAGGCGTGACCGCAGCCGCTCACCCTACACATCAAGGTCTGCAACAATCTTTCTTCCTTAATATGTGATAAATGTGGATAAAGCGATTTTCGAATCTTATGGTGATGTGAGGAATTAGGTTTAGGGACTTGGGATAGAGAATTAGGTTTAGGGTTTAGC